CCAAAGGTGTTCTATGCAAATATAAGGACCTAGATATATGCAGTCTTTTTTTTTTAGTTCGTTTTTTTAAGATTTTTATTTATTTGACACACACAGAGAGAGAGAGCACGCGCACAAGCAGGGGGAGCAGCAGGCAGAGGGAGAAGCAGGCTCCCCACTGAGCAGGGAGCCTGATGCAGAGCTTGATCCCAGGACCCTGGGATCATGACCTGAGCCGAAGGCAGCCGCTTAACGACTGAGCCACCCAGGCGCCCTGGTATATGCAGTCTTTATTTCTACTTTTTATACTAATGGTAGCCTACTCTGCCTACTGTTCTGCCCCTTGCTTTGATCACTGAATATCCTATGGTTCTCACACCTTATGTAACAACACTCTAAACACTGTATATTCATTAACTTATTTAATCCTCACAGCAATCCTATGAGGTAGATGCCTTTATAATCCTCATAACCCTCAGTTTAAATATTGTTTAAGTTTATTTAGTAATCTCTGCACCCAGTGTGGGGCTCAATTCATGACCCCGAGATCAAGAGTCAGGCTCCTCCATGACCCTCATTATATCAGTGAAAAAATTGAGACCTAAGAATATAAATGCTTAATTAAAAGTCCCACACCTATTAATTGTTGGAGCCAGGTGCTTGGAGCCCAATGCTGGGAGTGGGATCCCATGACCTTGAGATCAAGACTGAGTCTTATGGGAAGAGGCTGGGAGACAAATCAAAGTGAGCCATGAGTAAATCTTTATTTAATGAAAAAACCAATCAGGCCATTAACTTGCGTTGTGATGAGAATACAGATCATAGAGTAGGCTCATCAAGCCCCCCTACCACGTGGTCATCTTAAGTTGCGTGTTTTGTGGGGGGAAAAAATTACCAGAACATCTTTGTTTACAATTTCTGAGTCTCCCCAGCAGGCCCTCATATTGTAGCGCCACAAGATTGAGAACGATCCAAATGCCTCTTAATCCAGATCTATTACTCACCATCCTCAGAGGAAGGTTGAAAGGGCCTTGGCTGCAGAAAGAGGCTAAGGAATTTTCTATTTTCAGTGAAAGAAGAGGGTAGATCTTTGGATCCAGACCATTTGCTAAAATTGAAGTGGGCATGTGGCCATTAAATAACATGTGCATCTTAGTCCTTGAAAATTATATATATGTAATACAACAGAATACATAAGATATATATTTGAACTCGTTTCCCCTACCTAATAATCAATTGCTGCCCAGGCTGCTTTTCATCTGATAACATTTCACTCACTTAGGTGCAAATATTGATTGAATTCCTACTATGCGCCCACACCAGATAAAGATGAATAACCCCCACAGATAGGCTGCCTCAAGTGACTCCAAAGAGGAGTAATGCGAATGCGGCTAGGCTTAACTCTCCACCAGAGGAAAACATTTTCCCCTATTTTGGAGTATGCTGTAGGTTTCACTTGTCTGGGGGAAGCTCTGCCTTTGGTCTGGCCCTTGTTTCTATGCGAGCTAAGATTTGTTCCTATTTATAATTCTCCAAGAAAGCTTAGGGCAGCATTAGGAGAAAAGGGTGACTTTAAACTACTGTGTGTAAATTAAAATATTTCAAGGTCTGGGGCGCCTGGGTGGCTCAGTCGTTAAGCGTCTGCCTTCGGCTCAGGTCATGATCCCAGGGTCCTGGGATCGAGCCCCGCATCGGGCTCCCTGCTCGGCAGGAAGCCTGCTTCTCCCTCTCCCACTCCCCCTGCTTGTGTTCCCTCTCTCGCTGTGTCTCTCTGTCAAATAAATAAATAAAATCTTAAAAAAAAAAAAAAAAAATTTCAAGGTCTAAGGACTTCCATCTGTGTTTATTAATAGATGGAGAATTATTTGACCTCAGCATGACAGGAATTTTTCAATCAGTTGGGAGAGGCTCTCCCAAGGAGATCTGACCCACACCCTAAAGATTAAGTGAAAATATGCTGATAGCTGGAAAACCTTAAGAGCAAGATGGAAACAGATGTTAGTTTATTCTCTGTCCTCATTCCCTTACTGCTTCTTAAAGTATTATTTTTTTTATGAGGCACCTGGCTGGCTCAGTCAGTGGAGGACGTGACTCTTGATTTCAGGGTTGTGAGTTCGAACCCCACACTGGGCATAGATCCTACTTAAAAAAAAAAAAAGAAGTGTGGGTTTTCATCACTGAGTCTAAACTGCTCCTGGAAGCAGCCAGCCTTTCACTCTCTAAAATCTTTCCTTGCTTGCTGGCTATAGTTTCCTGAGGGTGTATGAATGCAGTGGTTGTGTCAAGTGTCCAGAATTATCACACTGCAAACCAATTTGACCATAAATGGATGTTGAAGAGTAGGATCAAGTAATTATCATAATGCAGGATGGCTTGAAGACAGGGAAATTTGGTGCAGTCGATTAAAAATAAAAGCTGTTATTTCTAGTCCCAGGATTGGACTAGAAATTAAAAACAAAAACAAGCAAAAAACAAAAATTCTTTGTTAAACAAAGTTCCACAGCTGGTTATTGGGAGAAGTCACTTTGCTTCTCTTTCTGTGGTGCGGGGGGGTGGGGTGGGGGGGGCAGTTAAATTATGTCCTGCTTGGTAGGATTGTACCAAGACAGCTGTTACCTATTTAGTTCTTGTTGCTTACTGGGCATCACCTGGATCATCTTTAGGCTTCAGAATAATCCCCAACCACCGGGAGATAATTATCACTGCCGTTGCCATCATCCTACATAGAAACAGAGGCACTGAGAGACGAAGTACCTTGCTCAAAGACACAGATAATAAAGGGCATAGGCAGGGCCAGCTACATAATTTGCAGAGATCAGTGCAAAATGGAAATGTGGGGTCCTGGCCAGGGGCAGGGAAGTCAACTACCATTCCCACAGTGTCTGTGCGATCCCCAAGGGGTTAGAACTGCTCTGCCTGGCCACATTTGGTATCTGCATGGGGATGGGCAAGAGGTTCCCACCAGTAGCCATGTTCCTTCCAGTCTCGAGCAAGGATGGTTGTTTACCTCACCCAAAGACACAGGAAGGGGGGGGGTGGGGGCTGTGTCTGACCCCAATCATCTCCCAGTGTCCAGGCACCCATGGGGATGAGAGGTGGATGCAGATGGTGGAATGCAGGATTACCTTCTCACTCCTTCCTAGCAATGAGCTTGCTGCCCCAGCAGCAGTCATGGTATTGGCTGGGGGGGGGGGGGGGGGGCAAGGTGCTAGGGGAGTGAGCACCAGAGAAGTGGGGAGAGGATGTGAGGCGGGACTGTGTAGGAAATAAGGCTCCAAGACCCCTGGGCTTGTTCCATCGGCCCATCAAACTTCACTTAAAAAACATAAATTCAAGATAAAACGATTAAGAATTTCAAGGTTGCAACTGCTGAGCATTAAACCCCAAACACTTCTAAGTGCCAGCCCTGCATGACTGCACTAGTTGCATGTCCAAGAAGCCAACCCTGGCCATAAGTACCCAAGCTAACATACCTTGGTGGAAGACCATGGAAATCCCAAAGTTCTTTGAAAAGTAAGAAAGTAAAAATTTGCCCTGTCACTTCACTTTGAAAGTAAAAACGGCTGTAAAAGAAACTGATATTTTAGTCTGAACAAATAACTTCATTCCTCAACACCTCCCTGAAGAGTGTCTTTCTTTATGAAGCCTGACTTGGCCTTCTCAAACAGAATTGATGGCTTTCAATTATCCTCTCTCCTAATTTGCATAATCACAATGTTAAGAATTGGGGCTTTGGAATCAGACAAACGTGGCTTGGAATCCTAGCTCTGTCAGTGAATAGTTGTGAGACCCGGGCAAATTACTTGCATCTATTGTCTCCCCTGAAAAACCAGGATAATGCTACTTAACTGTGGCTCCAGGGCCGCCATTACTGATAGGCTTCCATCTAACTGGAAATGCGGCTACAGGACTTGTCCTGAAACTAAGTTTGCAAAAGTAAGCACATTGGTTTCCACTTAGATTTTATGTTTATTTGGCTTTGGGGAGGGATGCTCATGGAGATGAAGAGGGTAAAGAGCATTAGTCACAGTGCCTGACACCAAACAAATCAACTGCAAATATTTATTCGTTTTTTTACACTGGACTCACTTTCTCGAGAGCGGGGTCCTGTCTTATTCACTTGTGTCTAACACAATGCCTGGCACCAAATGTGAAATTAAAATGAATTTCCTTTGCAATTTTCACTAAAAATGAGGATTTTATCGGTAACTTAGAAAAGTGGGTAAGTCTCTTAAGGGCTTTTACTATTCTGATATAACACAAAGAAACAAAAAAAACAGTGGAAAAATGAGGTCGACAGGCCTTTTATGGTCAAACATTCAAACCTGTTCCTAAGTGCCTGTTAACAGTGATTTGTCTCGGGACGCCTGGGTGGCTCAGTTGTTAAGCGTCTCCCTTCAGCTCAGGTCATGGTCCCAGGGTCCTGGGATCGAGCCCCGCATGGGGCTCCCAGCTAAGCAGGAAGCCTGCTTCTCCCTCTCCCACTCCCCCCTGCTTGTGTTCCCTCTCTCGCTGTGTCTCACTCTGCCAAATAAATAAAAACAAACAATGATTTGTCTCATCTTTGCCTGCATTTAAAATTAATAAACCTGGACGTCAATCTGGAACTCATTCGGAGGATTTCGATACAACCACACTTTTCAAAGTTTTAAACCAAAACAGCAAGGGGAAGAGATTGACCGCAATGAACCACTGCTCACAACTTTGGGACCGTAGGATCGCTGGACGACAGCGACATTCTTGCTATCCAATCTCCGGGGCGTCCGGAAAGAACGCTCTTTGGATTGGTCAGAGGAAACATCTCTCCAGGTTCATTCAAGAAGTAGCTTGGCGTGGGGCTAGGCCGGCAGCGCCATCTGCCCAATCAGAGGAAGGATGAGGCGGGCTTTGCCGGAGTGGAGCCTATCTCCGGAGGCGAATCTCGCCCGTCGGACCCGCCTGCCGCGAGCGGAGGGGGCGTGGTCTCGGCCGCGGGCTCCCGACTCCCAGGGCCCGCGCGCGGAGTGGGCGGGGCGAGCGGTGTCAGCGGCGGAGCCGGATGCGGGCGTCGCCGCGGCCGGGGCGGCCCGGGGGATGGGCGGAGCCCCAGCCGCCAGTGCTGGTGGCCGCCGCCGCTGCCGATCCCGAGCGGACGCCTCTGGTCCCGCGCGTCGCTGCTTCCTAGGGCGGCGGTATGCTGGGGAAAGGGGTAGTCGGCGGTGGCGGCGGCACCAAGGTGCCCAAGCCCTCCTTCGTGTCGTACGTGCGCCCTGAGGTGAGGGGGCGCCGTGCGGGCGGGGCGTCGGGCTGGAGCTGCCGGGGTGAGGGGCGCCGGGAGCCCCCTCCCCGCTGCTGGGAGGGCCGCGGGCGCTTCCTGTGCGTGTGCGGGAGGGGAGCCGGGCGGGGTGAGGCCCTCGGGGGCGCGCTGGGAGCTCGCGCGGGCTGAGGTGGGGACCTCCGGCGCGGGCAGGCAGGTGCCGGAGCGCCGGGCCCGGTCGCCGGCGACTAGGTGGAGGGGCCCGAGCCGGGAAGGTGCTGCGGCCCGGGCCGCCCCTGCCTACCTTGGCGTGGAGCTGGGGTCCTGGGCACCGCGGGAGGGGAAGGGCTGCGCGCTCCGGACCCCCGTGGGGACCTGCCCAGAGCCCGCCGCCTGGGTGGGTCTGCCCTGCCCCTGGAATTTCTCAGTTGAGGTCTTCTGAGCTCGCCTGCTGCTTGATGCCGGGGCGGGATACCGTGCACCGCCTCCCGCCTCCCATCAGCAAGCAGTGCAGCTTTCTCCCTTGAGAGTTCTCCTGTCATTTCTTCCCCTTTTCATTTCACCCCCTCTTGCCTTCCCCTGGAGTTTTACTGTTCAGTTCATTCATTCATAAAATATTCATTAAAACAGCTCCTTCACTGTTCTGAACTCTTGGGATATATACATCGTGAACAAAACAAAGATCCCTGCTCTCCTGGCGCGTATTTGAGGGAGAATGGAGTGAACAATAAGTAAAATATAAGTAAATTACATGGTTATATTAGAAGGTGATAAGTATCAGGGGAAAAGGAAAGGCACCATTTTCCTCCTTGCCACAGTGGCATTTGAGCAGATTTGAAGGGTGTTTGGGGTCTGAGGGAAGAGTAGTGCTGGTAGAGGGAAGTCTGGAGTGTTGGGGGCGCATCAAGAAAGTCAGCCCTGGGGCGCCTGGGTGGCTGTTGATTAAGCGACTGCCTTCGGCTCAGGTCATGATCTTGGAGTCCCGGGATCGAGTCCCGCATCGGGCTCCCTGCTCAGCAGGGGGTCTGCTTCTCCCTCTGACCCTCCTCCCTCTCATGCTCTCTGTCTCATTCTCTCAAATAAATAAAAATAAAATCTTTTTTTTTTAATTTTTTTAAAAGATTTTATTTATTTATTTGAGAGAGAGAATGAGAGAGAGCACAGGAGAGAGGGGAGGGTCAGAGGGAGAAGCAGACTCCCTGCCGAGCAGGAAGCCCGATGCGGGACTCGATCCTGGGACTCCAGGATCATGACCTGAGCCAAAGGCAGTCGCTTAACCAACTGAGCCACCCAGGCGCCCAAAAATAAAATCTTTAAAAAAAAAAAAAAAAAGCCCTGAAGAAGCCTAGTAGGTGAGGGGGAGAGTCGCAGGAAACCAGGTTAGAGAGGTCATAGCTTGTAGGCCATCCTGAGGACTTCTTGAGCAATAATTCCAACCCAGGTACCTAATGAAATGCATTCTTATTTTGGATTCCTGAAGGTTTTTCCTGCTCCTCTTCCCAGTACTTTAAGCAGCAATGTGCAGGAGTACTATCAAACTCATTGTCTTCAGCTGTCTTCCCACCCCTGTAAAGCAAAGGCAGGTGAGCTGTGGATGAGCGGTCTTGATCAGGGACTGCTTCTATAACACCACCTGAGGCCAGAAGCCTTTATACACACATCTTCAAATTTGTGTTTTCTCTAGTTGAGAATACTTTTGAAATAGGTTTTATTTTTAGTCCTAATTTGAAAATAAAAACCACTTCCTCCTTAGATCCTTGATAAGGAGTCAGGGTCATCTTGCATTTTCAGCAGGCTTCCCTTGTATGGTGGGTACGTAATGTCGGTTTCTCTTTGTGTCTTTTTGATTGAGCCCTTGCTGAAACACAACTGATCTTTAACCTTTCCTCTTCAGTGAGATTAAACTACAAATGGAAAGTCTTCTGAAATGTGGCCACAGTTCAAGAATGTTCAAATTTTTCATCCACCAAGTGCACATGTTGTAATTAGACATGTTTTCCCTCTTTGCCCACAGTGCCTGATATATTTCCTTTGAGGGATAATTAGGGAAGGGGAGTGGTTCAGTCCCAAAATGATCACATTTTTCGGATCCTTATAGTTGGCAGTTTTGTTTTCTTGCAGTGAAATAGTGCTGTGTAGACACTATGTTTCTTTGTTGTAATCTGTCTCTAAAAATATTTTGAACGGAGGGAAGGGCTCTGACCTAAATTGCTTACAGTTTTTAAAAGATAAAGGTATGAGCGGGTGAGAAAGCAATTTGTTTTTATTTTTTAAAGATTTTATTTATTTGAGAGAGAGAATGAGACAGAGAGAGAGAGCACGAGATGGGGGAGGGTCAGAGGGAGAAGCAGGCTCCCCGCCGAGCAGGGAGCCCTATGTGGGACTCGATCCCGGGACTCCAGGATCATGACCTGAGCCGAAGGCAGTCGCTTAATCAACAGAGCCACCCAGGCGCCCCAAGAAAGCAATTTGTTTTTAAATGTATAGCTTTTGCTAGATATCATATTATTGGAAATTGACGTGAGCAGCTTTGCGGAGTAGCTTATATACCTCTGAGAATACTGTGTCTGGTAACCTCTTGGCTCACTCAGGAGGAGGAGTCCCTCAGAACACTTTTCTGGACTGCCATTAGGTTTCTACTCCTTTCCTTCATATTGCTTTCATCTTTACTGCATTTGGTGTATGTCTTCCTCTCATTTCTCTTCATGCGCTTTGCTTTTGTTAGCTGGGAAATCGCAGGTTTCTCAGGCACCTTTCTGCTGGTAGGTAACTGAGCTGCCAGAACAATCCTCACGCCTTATGATGTGGTGATACCTGTGCCTGGTGATAACTTGTTGGCTGATCAGATCTTGGAAGGCTCAACAGTGGCTTTCTTCAGTATGCCAGAATCTGTCAAGAGTCAGCACTTTGTGTTAAAAACAGTAGCGCTTTACTGGATAAAATAGTTGAAGATGATGCTTTTAAATATGATGGCTTATTTTTTTTCTTGTGATTAGAAAGGATTGACATCTGTCATTGATTCTAAGTCAGTGAATGTGAACCTTAAAATCCTGAACTGTAGTTTAGGACCTTTGGTCATGTTTTGTGAACTCTACCCAGGGTTACAAATCAGTAGAGCTTGTAAGGGGGAAGCCAGTGGCTCTGGAAATTGAGGTGAATGGGAGGGAGAGAGCTGGGTCATTCTTGGTGGTACCAGATGGCTGGTACCTAGAAACATCTCAGCGTCACCACCCCAGGTTAGTCCCAGACAAACAATGGAAAGGACCTTGTGCCTCTGTGCAAGGGAACCACTGGGTGCCTAGCTCCCCTTCAAGGAGGCATTTGGTTATAGTTTGGAAGCCAGATCCATTTTTCTTGCTAAATAAAACACCTGATTATTATTTCAGAAGCTGTAAGTGTTCATTATAGAAAAATGAGAAAATATAGATTTGCAAAGAATTTTTTATTTTATTTTTTAAAAGATTTTATATTTATTTGATAGATAAAGAGCACAAGTAGGCAGAGAGGCAGGGAGAGGGAGAAGCAGGCTCCCCGCCGAGCAGGGAGCCCGACACTGGGCTTGATCCCAGGACCCTGGGACCATGACCTGAGCCGAAGGCAACCACTTAACCGATTGAGCCACCCAGGCGCCCCGCAAAGAATTTTTTAAAGAAAAATTATAAGCAACTCAGAGTATACCTTGTCAGATATGTGTGTAGGTGTATGCATATGTTTTTTCTAAAATGGGTTTAATATTGCTGATCATATTATTTGTAATCTACCTTTTCACCAGAAATCTATATTGTAAATGTCTTTCCATGTCTGTTGTTAACCTATAATGTCATTTTAAATTAGACCCATTTTCCACAACAGAAACACTGTGATAGGGAGATGTTAGGTAGCATAAAAAACCAAAGAAAGTGTGATTTTTTTTTTTTTAAGGATTTTATTTATTTTGAGAGAGCGAGCACGCACGTGAGACAGAGGGTGGAGGGATGGGCAGAGGGAGAGAGAATCTCAAGCGGACTGCACACCCCAGTGTGGAGCCCGACCCAGGGCTTGATCTCATGACCCTGAGGTCATGACCCGACCTGAAATCAAGAGTCAGGTGCTTAACCAGCTGAGCCACCCAGGTGCTCCGTGATTTTTTTTTTTTTAAGTTTATTTATAATCTTTACACCCAACATGGGGCTTGAGCCTCGAGATCAAGAGTCGCATGCTCTACCAACTGAGCCAGCCAGGCACCCTTATTTATAGATTTTTAGATTTGGGAGAGAATTTAAAGATAATCTGCTCCACCACTGTACTCTTCCTCTGTAATACAGATATGGAAACGAGGCCCTGCAAGGTTAAATGTCCTGCCCAGCGCCACAGAAGTTTTGCAGTCCAGAGATAAGAACTGTCTCCTGGAGATAGCAGTGCCTGTGACTAAGCTAGGCCCACGGGAGCTTAGGAAAGGTTTTTATGTAGATGTGGGAAGAAAAAGCAAGAAAAGAAATGAAGATTGAGGAAGGATAAAAAAAATCCAGATTTAAAGAGCCAATTTTTTCTTTTCATTTATCCCTCAGGGGAAAGAATGCATTTGATTGCCTAATCTTGATTTAAGGCTGTATCTTTTCATGGAGAGAAGTGAACTGATCTATGATCTGGTTTTTCCAAGAGAGAAAAGCTGGGGTATATATCAAAATAATACAGTGAATAATTACTAATATTTATTAGGCACTTCTGTGTCCCAGGAACTGTACTTATTTCATCCTTTCAACTATCGTATGCAGTGGATACTATTACTTCCTTTTGAGTGTTTAGATGTGGAGAGACCCAGTGAAGTTAGTACCTTGCTCAGGGTCACAGCCAACAAGAGGTGGTGCCAGGATTTAAATTTGGGCAGTCTCATTCCGGCGCTGTTCTTCCATCCTTACATTTATGAATGCAGGTAATATTATTAGTGAAACATGCATGTAGTCATGACTGGTGTTCACACACTAAAGTGTTTTCTCATTCATGGTCTCTAGTAGCAGTTTCCTTCTTGGCTTTTGTTA